TCACAAAAGCATCGCAGATATAGGTTTCCAGCCTTACTAAATGGTGAATTGTGATTCGTTTTTTTTTCTAAAACCACATTGTATATTTGAAAGTATATTATTGGTTTCAAGAAACCATACAAGGCGTTCGTTGATCATCCGTTCCATGGTCTTGCATTTGCAGCTTGTTAAAGCAATTGGTCTATAATTATTAGGATCTGTGTGATCCTTTCCAGGCTTTGGAATTGGAATAATTGTTGCCTGCGTCCAGGAAGATAGAAAATCACCTCTTTCCGAGATCAAATTTTGCAGAAGACATTCTTTGCTGTTTTTTGGGAGATGTTTTATTTGATAATGAATTTGGTCTGGTCCTACAGCAGTTTCATGAGATTTATCGAGAGACTTTTGCAATTCCTTAAAAGTAAATTTTGTTTGTATGTTGTTTCACGTCCCTCTCGAGAATTTTTCACTCATGGAAACGCCACCACTTGCCGGTGGAGAGCTGCAACTTTTGTCCTATGCTCGGCACTTACGGCCATTGAGCAGTGAGGGATTTTTTGTCGTGTAAACAACTACGGCGACACGGGACTTCGGTTTATACGGTCTCATCCAAATGACCGGTCTCCACGTCCCACAGTGGAATTCGAACCCGCGACGTAAGGATCAACGCCTTACCTCGCGACTCTAGAGCAGACGCTCTAACCACTGCGCCACGCGGGCGACTTAGAGGTAAATGGTTCATTATAAGATTCGTTGTGATCGGACGTGAAATCTAATGTATGTTTTTCTTATGAATTTTTGTATGTAATAAAATTAGAACTCATGTTTTTGGCTGTTGAATCTTAAGCAATCGTTCAGCTTTTTTATTGGTTATTTCTTTTTTATCCGTGATAATTTGATTTCCAATATTATGATGCTGGTATTTTTCATTGGAACCTTTGCTTTGTATTTTTCTTATGGCATTCCATACCATCTGAATAGGAGTATGTGAATTAAGATTTGAAATAAAATTTTTCCAAAATGTTCTATTGCTGAAATTGATAGTTATGTTCCCCAAACGAAGTTTGGGAACATATTGTTTTTACTCTGATTCTTATTATTAAGGTCTTTCGTCTCCAACGGAAGACCTTATTGTTTTCGTTCGGTTTCTTTTTCCCTATTATTAAGGTCTTCCGTCTTCAGCGGAAGACCTTCTTGTTATTCTTGGTTTTTTTTTCCACTGTTTTTAGGTCTTCCGTTTTCAACGGAAGACCTATAGCGATTCTACTGTTTCTTATTATTATTATTATTTTTCATTTTTATTTTTTTGACCTTTTCAAATCGCGATATCTCAAAAACTACTCATTCATTTTCAGCCAAATTTTCAGGAATGATGTGTTATCTCATGCCATTTTGAAATATTGAAAAAGTTCGGAAAAAGTTACTTCCGGTCGGGAATTATCACGATTTTTCACTTTTTCCACTAAAAATCTAGTCCATGAATGTTCTCAGAAACTGTTAAAGGAAGGAGTCTGAAACTTTCAGGTATGATAGAATTTGGTTTGTAGATGTGTGATGGAAACATTTCGTGTGTCGTCGTCACTTCCGGTCGTCACAGGAAGTGATTTAAAAAGGGTAATTTTTTGAACTTTTTTGTTTTTCATTATTTTTTTTATGACGTTAATAGGCTAAATAAATAGTCTTACAAGGATGCTAAATATGTAGTTTGTTTGAAAATTGATTAACCCATACTCTAAATATTTATCATTTTGCAATTTTAAACGATGATGTTTGATAGTGTAATGGTTAGCATGTTGAATTTTCATGTGGGCGATCCGGATTCAATCCAAAGAATGTCCGAATTTTTTCTCACTTTTTGAGGCTCAAATATAAGATTTTATCTTTGGGGGGGGGGGGGGGGGGGCTACGTCGTTCGACGTCAGAGCAGCGGTGTTTGACGGCACAATATCAGCGTGTCTTTTTACTCCCTCATAAAGAGTTTGCAGTTGAATTTTGCACTAATTAATGTGCATAGATGCAATTGTGATATGACAAAATGAGGAAAACATGTTGTTACAAATGTATATGTAGCTAGATACCTATGCAATTGTATGGCTGAAAAATCGCCGACTCGGCGTTAAACAGTAATAATCAATCATAATCAATCCAAAAGATGATTAGGCTGTTGTGTAAAATGTAGGAGGGTATCATAAATTGGAGAGTTGCCGAATTGTATTTTGAAAGTAGAATTTGTTACTTTCTCATGTTGATTGAATAACATATAGCAATTTCAAATGAGAGAAAAATAAACTTCAATGATATTTTTCTTTGATTTTAATAGGGTAATATTCCTTTATAGATGCAAGTTACCGAACATAATAGGTATCAGATTCCTTGAGCGTCATATGGCGAGACGTGTTTTATTGCGAAACATTCCAGTCTTTTCATTAATGTGTTACTAATTGGAATAATCCACTTTGGGGGTAAAGATGAATATAAAATGTGTAAGAAAACTTAGCGCTGCATTTATGTTACTTGTCCGTATACGGTATGTTATATGTACAGTGTGATAAATATACATTCTTAGGCTAGAAAATCAGGCTATAGCAACATATATATTTTTTAAATTCATTGAAGCTATCACGCACACTTATTCAATTGAAGACACATTCCAAAGAAAAGGCGCGAAGATTTACTCGTGACATTTGGCGCGAAATAATTATCTTGACCCGCCTTTCACAAATGGTCTGATGCAGTAGTGTAGAAGTACAGAAAAAGATTACACGGACATGTCTGAATTTGGAATTGCATAGAATAGAAAGTTGAATACATAAAGAATAAAGGAAGTAAACACAATAGTTTATTTTTAGCTTTTATCAGTAACAGATTATTTTCTCTGCTATCAGTTATTGTTAAAACTCAAGTAACAAATCCGATGTAAATCAACTAGTACTTGCACAAAATTTAGCTGGCTAGTTTTCATCCTATAATTCCACACTATAAGAAAAAAAGATTAACCTGCCTGACACTCGTTACTTCAGGGAATGAGTGCAAGGTAAACATCAGTGATGGCTGGTACAATGCGCTAGTGTAGTGGTTTCAATATTAAAGAACAAGGTTCACATAGGGTCTTTTTTGGCCCTGTGAATTTCAGAAAAACTGAAACTGCTTGGTTTTAGTTAATGCATTAAATATCATTTAGACCTTTGATGACTGCGTATCTATAAAAAATGACGTAATTTTCTGGCTAGCCAATGCATTATGACGTCATGAAATGTGTCATTTTCCTCATATCGTGAAAAATTCTACAGAACAGCCAATTTTTAAAGCCATTTTTCGATATTTAATATAGAGCGTAACCTCTGATCTTAAATATGCAACAATAAAATGATAGAACTATTTCTGAGGATTACAAAACCTGTTTTATTTTTTAGATCAGAAGGTGTGCTCATATTATTTCTCTTCTGTTAAAGCACTCAGATATACTTATTTTCATTAAAATTCAAGAAAATTGCAATTTCAGGAGCCCTGTTTTCCAAGACCTTGGCTATAAGGAGAAAATTTTTAATAGGAAATGAAAACACTAAGTCTCTACTTTATCTTGTTGTTTAAAATGGAACATAAAGTGTCAAAAAATTGGTATATCTACAGGGCCATTTTATGCATAATGTGAACCTAGCTCTTTTCAGGCAGCCGATCTTGGTTTAATCCCGACTATATCTGATTTTTTTGTTTAAATTTACGTTTTCATCTTTATCAATGATGTTGAACTTTGTTTTTCTCTTTGTGAATTCTGTGCTCTTTTCATTTTTTTTTTTAAATAAAAAATCTTTTTAAAGACCCATGTTGAATTTTAGGTGTCTTTACAACGAGCAGATATAAGTGTAATTCTACGTGCAAAGAATATCACAGTTAAGGATGGTTATTCGGACGGAAGACCTCTCGTTGCTTGCAACGAGTATCTAGTTCTTATTATTTTTTTTCTTACCGATTTTGTCCACGCGATTTCTCGAAAACAGTTCGTTCGATTTTCATGAAACTTTCAGGTCTGATAGAACATTAAAAAATCTTGATACATATTTTTTTATTTTGATGACGTCACTTCCGGTCCGAAGATTTTTGCGATTTAGTGATTTTTGGAGGGTCAGTTTGTCCGCAGGTTTTCTGAGAAGGCACTCATCACAGGAACGTGAAACTTTTAGCGAAGACAGAGCAACATATGTAGATCTGTAATACGTAGTTAACTTTCACCGGAAGTGCCACACGTCGACGCTCGCTATGGCCTGAAAAAAGTCATATCGAGAGTTTCAAATTTTCGAACACTTTCTGTACGATATCCTTTTACTTGGAAATATTTTGTTAAAACATATATATTACAAAATTTGTGCAGAATTACAAGATCTTTTAAATGATATCTCGAAAAAAGGGCTGGCCCCTAAAATAAAGAATCTAAAGGGGCCAAAATATTTTTCCTGATATCCAAAAAGTATTGAGAATTTGTAATACTTCAAAAAGCAAAGTTGTTCAACATGACAAGTAGCAGCTTGCGAGATCATCAAAATGCGTCGAATGACGTCACTTCCGGCCAAACAGAAAGTAGTAGAAAATTGCTTATTTTCACAGATATTGGTACAGTGCTGCTATCCCACAAGTTGACATGGGATGGGATTGGATATGATTCAGGATTGAGGATTCACGATAGAAACATATAGTAGTTAATCCAAACCTATCCTATCCTATCCTGTATCCTACAGCCAATCAGATTCGAGTAAAGGTTAATTCATATGTCAGAATAAATTACAGAAACGCAAAAGGATATAGAACGTTTACAAAAGAATTATTTATAAAATCACAAAAGAAAGTAGACATTTTTTTCTTAACACACATTTATTCTATTACCTTCGAGTAATATGGCGTACGATCTAACCGCGAACGATCACCGGAAGAAGTTTCGCATATAAACAAAGAAGAGATCGGACATCAAAAGATCGTTTTTCTTCAGCATGTTTGGATGATTAACTCAATTCCTACTTGTGTTACAGTTCAATAACATGTTTCTCTGTTAAATGTGCTCTGTTTGTCTGGATAATTCCACTTGAACCGTCAGCGGTGGACTATAACAGATCATAATCGCAGTTGTTTGGTGCAAGACCATGTAAGTATACTAAACACTGTAAATGTGTGCATGTTTATACATATCTCTCCCTTTAAGCAATGTTTTAATGACTTGAACTATTAAAAATTTACTATATTGTAATATACACAGAAATCGGATGTGGAAAAAAGAGGTTGTGTAGAAAGGGGAGGGGTAGGGGGTTAAATATTTACAAATACTTTGTCACATGATCAGATGTATTATACCTTTTTCAGTTTGTTATTGCTATATACTCATTTCCCTACTGTGGTTAAAAAATATTTTTTCTTATCTGATTGCAATTTAAAATAATTAAATGCAGAATCATCATGATCATTTCTTATGCTACTTTGTATAATAAGCCCACTCAGCACTTGCATGTACATTGTATGTATGACCTATTGTGAGTCAAACATAAAATGTGTAACATAAATTAATCATTTATTATCTTCTTCATTTCAGAGAATGGTACCCAATTTTGCCTGCCCTCATTAGTCATCACAATATAAAAGATTTTACATTTAGAAGTACATATGATTAGATTATTTATTTTGTGTTTATGCATGTTTCATTAAAATACATCAAAATCATTATCTAAGTTGGGATGAAGTGTCTGCAGATTTTATGAATAAGTGATTTTCTTCTTTTTAAAATGTTGAGAGTAAAACTGAAATTAATGTATAATTGTTCTGGTCATCATGGTCATGTTATATGTATTTTCATTTTTTTTAATATTCAAATTTCAAGCAAAAAATGAAAAGAAATTAATTAACAAGATATTAAATAGATTAATACAAGCAGAAAATAGAGAGAGAAAAAAACATCCAAACATATAATCATACTAGTTAGCAAGACGACGAGATGAAATGAATTATAATCTACAAGTAAATTATGTAAATTATGATTGTTTAATTAAGATATGAGTTATGACTATGAAGTTGCAATATAAGATTTGATTTTGCTTGATTTCTTTAAAATTAATGCATTACTCTGGGAGAGAAAAAGGTGAAATTCAGACAATTGTACATGAAATGAGAAAGATAATCACAATCAAATACAGTTTTAATGCATAATGTATATGACAAAATTTACAATCTACATGCACATAATGGTGTGTGTTTTTTGCTTCAGGACAATCCTGCAAATTTGCAACTGTACAAATTGCACTTCATCTCATCTGCTGCTGGAATAAATAATGAAAGATTTTCAAACCAGTGTCCAAGAGCCTCCTAGAGTCTGGAATGATGGTGTTCTTTATTAAGGAGATCAGTGTGTGATGTATTTGTTTTCTGTGCATTGATGACATTTGTGAAACTGTTCGGTTACTTTATGACCATCTCTCTGACAACTACTTTGACATTTGAAATTCAATTTTAGCGACGGACAAGCAGGCCAAATAATATGCATGTAAAACATACAATTGTAATAAGACATTGATAAACTTCAATTTAAACAAACTACATGTACATGTATCTTTGAGCTTGGCATTGAAATACATGTATACTTTACATGGACACTTTTAATGAATTTGTCTCATGATAATGGAACATTCAATTGTTATACATTGTAGATATAAATTGTAGATAATATGCATTTGGTCCAATATATATAATTATATTTATATTCACTGAAAAAAAGGAATTACCCTGAATAAATATTGCGAACTTGGTCAATTATTTTTATTCCTCATTTAGACACTGAATAACATTCAAGATCAAATGTCAAGATAAAATACAAGATTTACTTAAATTTGGGTTAAAAATACTGTAACAACTGTGGATTCTTATGCATGTTTTATAAGATCTAAGGAATATGTGTGAGCTGACTACAATAATTATTGCTGTCAACCTGTCTGACTATGAAGATTTAGGAAAATGTTTTCTGTAAACATTAATTGATTAAATTCTCACACAAATATTTTTTTTTAATTAAGATACACTTGTACGGCACTGAACTGACCATAAATTGAGAACACTGAAGCGAAATAAGAAATTTTAACATTTTGAATATCTTGATTTTTATTCAGCAAACATGATGAAAATGTTGCATGTTTGTAAAATATTCACATACAAACAAATGATGAACTGAACATTTCAAGCAGGAATAACTTTAATAATAAATATAAAACAAATTTTTATCATACATTTAAAATTGAATATAATAAGACAATTTTAACTTATTTGATGAATGAAAGTCAAAATATTCTAGATCTAAATTTTGACTTGTCTGTTCTCGGTTTATGGTCTTGTCATATCTTGAAGTTCTTATTTAGATTTACGCCAAAAGTAAAATCTAATATTAGTGATGGGACATCGGTTAATTTTCATAATCGATCATCGGTTGGAATCGGTTACTGCTTCTGATGCGATTTTAATGATTATAATCGAATTTCATAGTTTTGTATACAAAAAAATTATGTTTGATTGTTTCCTGTAACATTCCCAAAAAATCAAGGGTCGGTAGGTCGGGAATTTTTTTTTTTGCTTATGAATAATGGAGTCAAACATCCCGGTGTAGCATAATATTTTGATGCCATGATATAAAAAACCCGGGTTCAATATATCGCATAATATTTTGAACCCGGGTTCATTTTTTGCTGCGATATAACGAACCCCCTTATAAAATATTGAACCCGGTGGGTTCAGCATATTATGGTTATAATATATTGAGTCCCCTACTCTTTTAATTTAAGAGGGAGGGGGTTCAAGATATTATGTTCATAAAATATTGAGTTCCCTTTCCCTTAAATTTAAGAGGGAGGGGTTCAAGGTATTATGACCAAAAATATTGAGTCCCCCTATCCTTTTAATCTAAGAGGGAGGGGATTCAAGATATTATGACCATAAAATATTGAGTCCCCCTATCCTTTTAATCTAAGAGGGAGGGTGTTCAAGATATTATGACCATAAAATATTGAGTCCCCCTACACTTTTAATCTAAGAGGGAGGGGGATCAAGATATTATGACCATAAAATATTGATGGCAATTTCAGACTTCAAAATTTTGATTACATTATTTTACTCTCATTTCTTTAGGTATTGCACAGATTTAAAAAAAAATACAATTTTAATATAAAGATACCCAACCCTTGAGATCTAACAATTAAATCAAAGTTAGTGTGTGTGAGATGGGTGTTAGATACTTTCACTTTCCAAAGTAGTCTTTAAATGGAGGTTCAATACTTCTCAGCCAAATATTTTCTATCCTTTATAAAATGTTGTGGGGTTGAACGTTTCACTGTCATATCTTGAACCCCCTCTTACCATTCAAAAATTATTTTTAGGTCAATAATTTTTAAACAACATCCTAAACGCATATATGTCTAGTAGGGGGTACAACATTTTACAGCCATAAATCCTATCTTAAACCTCCACCCCACTCTACCAAAAAAAAAAAATAAATTTGGAAGTACATTTCAAGGCCATAATCTTATGAACCTCTATGCTTTAAACAGAGAATGTCTGTAATGGGGTTCAAAATATTATGGCCACAAGGCTATAATATATTGAACCCAGGGTTCAAAATATTATGGCCCTAAGGCTATAATATATTGAACCCAGGGTTCAAAATATTATGGCCATAAAACTATAATATATTGAACCCTGGGTTCAAAATATTATGGCCATAATATTTTGAACCCCGGGATCAATATTTTATAGGGGGGTTCAATATTTCGCAGCGATATTTTGAACCTGGGTTCAAAATATCGTGGGGTTCAATATATTATATGACACCGGGACTGAATTATCCAGGTGTTTTATTTACAATGGACAATCACCATGGCTGCCTAGCGGCAGAAAAGGAACTTCAAAAAGTTGTGGGGGGAATCGATTACTCTTTATATCGAAGGTAAATGTTGACTAAGTTGCATATTTTATATCTCAAATAAAAGATACAATTAATATTTTTTGAATGAAAAGATTCAGCTGATTGATCAAACCAAAGAGCAAATACAGATTTGGCAGAAAAAAAATCCACCTGGGGGTAAACTGAATGGGTCGGTCGGGTTACAGTAAACAAACATAATTTTTTTAGACCCTATATATGCACCATTTGGTTCTTAATCACCTCTGCTTCGTGCTAGTTGGCTAGTATCAGATGCAGACGCCATTTTCTTTCATTAAGGAGAAATAAATTTTAAACCAGAAATGGAGAATTCCGGAATGTATTGTATTAGAAGTATGTTTCCGATGATCAATTATGAAAAATTATAATCGATCATCGGAATCGGTAACATTTTTTCGTCGACAATCGATGTTTTCTGATTATCGGTACAACACTATCTAATATACAGCTGATATAGGTGCAGTTAGATCTATATGTTATTTTCGTGATGCCTAGTTATGGGGAAAACAAAGTTTTGCATAAATTGTACATGAACAGATGAAACATACACTTGTTAAAACATCAAACATATCCTATTTTTGTCATTATTTAGTATGTGTAGACATGATAGAGAAATTGTTTCTTCAATGAGTACGGTTATAATTCAGTGTACCTATCCCGCATGAAGGATTTGGTATTCGTGGTCTGATTCTTATAAAGAGTTTAAAAATTTTGTTCCTTTTGTCTACTTTATCATAACATTAGAAAAGTATCTGCAATCTTTATTGTTTCCCCATTTTTCTCTCTCTAATTTTAACTCCATTTATTTTTCGTAGAGAACAAATTCGAAAGAAATCACAAATACCTTGACGTCTCCCGATCATTGTTAGTTTTGTTTGTTTGTTTGTATGTTGTTTAACGTCCCTCTCGAGATTTTTTTCACTCATATGGAGACGCCACCACTTGCCGGTGGAGATTTGCAAATTTTGTCCTATACTTGGCACATACGGCCATTGAGCAGTAAGGGATCTTTTTCGTGCCAGCACCTACTGCGACACGGGACCTCGGTTTATACGATCTCATCCGAAGGACCGGTCTCCACGTCCCACAGTGGGATTTGAACCCGCGACGTAAGGATCAACTCCTTACTTCGCGACTCTCGAGCAGATGCTCTAACCACTGCGCCACGTGAGCGACGATCATTGTTAGTATGTAAAATTAAACACAAATAAAATTTTACTATATTTTTTTCTTCAATTCTTCCGAAGTTCCAATTTCTTCACATGTTCGCTAGATCAATACTTGCCTACATTTTATTACAATTCTTTTGTTTACATTTTAACTGTTTACTCGCAAATTAATTCATGTGGGGTTTCGGAAATTAATGGAAGTTGATCTCGATTATTTTTTTCTCCATTAAAATTTATTATATCTAAATTAATTACATAACTATAACTGATTTTTATTTGATGGTCATTTTATAATTTTTTTTTTCGTTTTGTCAAATTAACTCCTAAATATTAAAAAAAAACTGAGAGCAGCAGGATACAACGTAGGATAGGATAGAATTAGACTGAAATGACAGGATAGGATTGTGGATGCAGGATTCACGATAGGATAGCTGGGATAGGATTGTCAACTTATAGGATAGAGCACTGTATTGAATTGAATTATGCATGTCACAGAGGACGTCTGATTGTATTTCCTGTCGAGTATCGTCTCTTTTGTCACTTCCGGTTAAACCGGAAGTGACTATAAATGACGTATTTCTGCAGATATCAACAAAAATTAAATGATTGAATTCAACCAAGACTTTTGACCCAATTTTTTGTCGATTGGGAGTCACTTCCGGTCAAACCGGAAGTAGTCTTGATTTGCTTTATTTAACGAAAATCAGCATAAAAAACCAAATACAGAAAACATCATTTTGGTCTGGAAGCCTTCTTTTTAAGTATACTTTACTTCCATTTATCCATCTTACAAGCAGTGCTTCTGAAACTTGGACGGAAGACCTACTCGTTGCTTTGCAACGAGCTTTGCTCTAGTTAATATTCTTTTTTCTTACCGATTTTGTGCACGCGAATTCTCGGAAATGGCTGGGTAGATTTTCACCAAACTTTCACATGTGATAGATATTTATCTGAACCTTATTGGAAATTTTTTTCGTTTATGATGTCACTTCCGGTAGTGAGATAATGACGATTTTCTGATTTTTATAGGGTTGGCTTGTCCTGGGGTGTTCTCCTAAACGAATAAAGATAAAGAGATAAGATTTTCAGTGAAAGTAGAGGGAGGTTTGTAGATGTGCTATTTGACGTTCATATATTTCCTGCGCCAATGGCGCCAAAGCTCGGTAGGGCTCGAAAAAATGTCTCAGAAACATCTCACAAAATTTGACACATTTTGTTTCATATCTTTTTACCTGTAAACATTTTGTTAATATATGGAGAACAAAAGTTGTGCAGAATGATACGACCTTTCATTTAATATCATGAAAAAGGGGCTGATCTCTCAAATT